ATATATATATAAAGGGTGGCCAAGTCATTGTAAAAGGGAAGAGCAGAGTTTACTCATCAAAGATCTCTTATATATCTCTGGCCCATAAAAGAAACTGTATTCTAGATACTATTCAATTCAGGGTTTCATGCTTATTGCCTCAAAGAAGATAAATATCTTTGAAATTCTGGATAGGCTTTAATATGGAAAAGCTTCGTTTCTTCATCTCTTAAAAAATGTAGGTAAATGGATTTCTTGGAAGAAGTATCCAAACTCCTGGAAGTATCCCAAGCATCATTTTGGGGACTCCTACCTTGCCAGAGGGTGGAGAAGAAAAGTTGTGGTCTCACAATTCAGAGAAGGCTACAGCCCCACTCAAGAATGAGGAGACATGGTCTGGTTCCAGTGTGTGTCTGTGCTAAGATTCACCACAGAGTAACACTGACAGCATTTTAGTTTCCTACTTCATTTTTAAACATCTTTTTAAACTGTTGGCAACATCTGTAATTCACCAGCCACTGCCTGGGGAAGGCAGGAGGACACTTGCTTCCTGCATGTGAAGGCCCTTCAGACTGAAGGTTGCCCAACCCTCTCATCTCCAGCCTTTCACAGATGGCAGGTTCTTCTATATCTTGTTCCCTTGACCATGTCTTTTCAGATATTACTACTTCTCTGTTCACTGATAATATTGAAGAATTTAGATGCCTGATCACAGATCCCTAAGGAACGTTAATTCAATACACAGTTTTTATGGTGGTCCACACTCTGCTGCTCTTACTCACGGGACCACTGATGGCCTTTCTCAGGAGCTCCTCAGTCTTTCTCCTCTTGGTTTTTGTTTTGGTTTATTCCCCTTAAATCACTTATATTCTTCCACTTTTGCCTAATGATTAGAGGTTTCTCCTCCTTAGATACCCACAGTTATTATTAGCTGCTGTCTTGGGGACCCACATCATGGTGATCCCATGCACAATGAGATGAAATTCTTCCAGTCCAACACCATCCCCTTAATCAGTTGAAGATTAGGCTGAGGTATTCTACACAAGAGTTACTGGCTGATTATTGGAAGCAGATTTCTAGAACGTTCTCCCTAGCTGACTCTATAAACTATCATACCAGCTTCTAACCTGAAAGACACAAAGAGAACAGAGTGAGGAGAATGGGTAATACCAGCAAACATGAAAGTAAGAGTTATTCTTAGTTTCCTCCTTTCCTTTCCTCCAGTACAAGGCATTGGACTTGGCAGTTCCCCTTCCTGCTATCGCATGCACCAGTTAGCATCCCGAGGGAATGGCTTGATTGGAAACTATCGAGAAAGAAGCTGATCTACTGTATTGTAATGTAAAACAGCCACAGTCAGTTATTTTGTAAGATTATAAGATGTTCATTAAAAAATCAGCACACAAAATTTTAAGTGTCTCTGTGTCTTATTTTTTTTAATCATCTCCTCCTTTCCAAATCACTTCCCATTTGCTGCTGGAAGATGCAGGCATCAATCATGGGTTAATTGATTATTTGAGCATTCCTTTCAGGCACTAAAAAAAAATTAAGTAAATACTATGTGTAAAGTAAAGTGTGGTAGTTCATAAGGAGAAATGCCATATGTACAAAAACAAAGTTCACAGTAACAATGTTAAGTGTCTTGTGAGATGTAGAAATCAAATGTAAGAGTCATTTATAGCTTGGAGAAAGGAAGCAGCATTTGTAGATACCAGTGGGTTTTCAGAGCCTGTAAATTGCATAGGAGGAGATTACTCATCTTTCTCCCTTGGGGAATGTGGTGGGTTCAAACCATCTGCCTTTGGGTTGGCAGCGAAACTCCTCACCACTAAGCCACCAGAGCTCCCCAGAAGGTAGATCAAATTTGAAAAATGGTTCTTGCTGGATGCTTATGATTGGGGTGAAAGAAAGGAAAGTTCTGGCAAAGTGAAGAACAGCATTAAACATTGGAAGATGGGAACAGGAAAGGCAAGGTAGCATGGATGCCTCTAGTTCAGTTAAAATGCACAATGGGGCTAACATGCATCATACAATTTATAAATATATCAACAACAAGAGAGCTCACTTGGCCTTGTAGAGAAAAAGTGATGGTACCAAGCTAAAAGTGGGTAATTTTAATCTCCTCCCCTCAGGCCTGGGTTTAATTGTTTTTGGTCAAACATTCTTCTAAGTGGTATAGCACTGGTCTGTCCATTTGCTGTACAGAGGTAACTTGTGGTTGTTGTGATGCTAAATGCCGTGATACTCATGTGTCAAATGAGATAATGGTTTCCCATGGTGGACAGTGTTTGGTCAAGCTCCCCAATGTAAACAAGTTTAGAAGCAGGAGTGGCATCCACTTCTGAAATGGCTTGCCTCTGGAACCTCTTTGAACTTGAAGAACTGATGAAAGTTATACAAGTGTTCAGGTCTTCTGTTCATAGGATCTCTATGAGTCATCTACGACTCGATGGCACTTAACACCAACAACATAGTTAATCTCCACAGTAGGGCTATAAATTGCATTTTCTCATTTTATAGATGAAGACACTGAGCCTCAGTCTGGGCGAAAATGTTTCTCAAGGTTGGATGACTGGAGTTAATTAAGTCCCTGCCTGCTTCTATGGGACAAGCTAGATGAAGGGAAAGAAAGTTGGAGATTAATAGTGTGAGGAGAAACATATCAAGACGATGCCTCTGCATTGTTACCCCTAACAACAAAGGGAAGCCAGGAAAGGGAGTAGACTTTGGAAGAGAGAGTTTTTGTTAAGTGCCGTCAGAAGTGGATGCCACTCCTTCAGGATTTGGTGGAGCTTCCTGATTAAAACAAGTGTAGGAACAGGAGTGACATCCTCTTCTGAAATGGCTTGCCTCCAGAAACTCTATGAATAGTGTTCAGGCCTTTAATTCATAGGGTCACTATGAGTCATCTACAACTCAACAGCACTTAACAACAATAACAATGACAACATAAAGCTCTGTTGGCCTAGTGGACAGAAAGTTATGCTACCAAGCCCAAGGTGGGTGATTTTAATCTGTGGCCCTCAGGCTTGGTTCATA